CACATGAAACTACAGTGTTTTTACCTTTAATCATCGGGTCCGTTTGCTTTGGAGATTTGATTGCGATTGGTGGTTTGCTGTGCATGCAGAGCCTGCATGTCACTCACTCAAGTGCCCCTGACATGAGAGCCGCGCAAGTTTTCCTTTTGTAGCAAGCAGCAAAATAATTGTAACATGACGTCTTTGAGTTCATTTGCCTACTTAATATCGCACGTCCTAAATATCGCGATTATCGTCACGACACAATATATCCTGCAGCCCTATTCTATACCTTAAAGGGTTTCCCCACCCAGGTAGCAAGTGAACAGGAACACCAGAGCCATTACAGGGCTAACATGCACACCAACACATTAACAGTTTCTACTTCACCTGACCTGCATGTATTCAGACTGTGGAAAATCTCGTCCCCTTTGTTTTTGTTGTTCAGCCTTGTCTTACTTTGTTTTTTCTCTTTTGGTGTGACCCTGAACTTGTTCTGTAATGACTTTATTATACAATAAAAAGGGAGGGAAATGTGACAGGAAATCAGAACAAACCCACACCAGGGATGCAACTTACAATTATTTTAATCATTTATTATTCTGCTGGTTAATCTTATAAATTATTCAATTAATTGTTAGGCAAATAGATTTTTTGTTCAACCAACATTACCAAGCTTAGAAATTATATATTCACAACAGGCAATCTTCACAATTTAGAAACTGGATTATTTAAAACCAATGTTAGGTAATACCCTGGAAAGAGATACATAAGTTAAGCTTTAAAGAGCACATAGAAACGACACAGGCAGGAGCAAGGCTGACCCTTCCTCACCATGGAGCAAATGTGATGCCCCTGACCAGGTCTGAGATTCAATAAAACAGGATTAAATGTAAACAACTGTCAATCACACTGCAAATCTCTGCTACAGCTTACATCCATCTTTAATCATGAAGAAGGTAGGGATAGGGATACTTTTGCAGATGTACAGACAGACAGGTGAATAAAGAGGAGACATAAAGACAGACAGAGATCCAGACAGAATTTCCCTTTAGGTTTATAACTGGAAAATTGACCAACCTTCCATGGGCGTGGAAATCTAAATGAAGGAACTTGTCTTCAGGAGAGAACGCCCTCTTGGCCCTCTGATGATTGCTGTGCACCAGCTCTGTTTCGTAGGTGAGACCTTCATAGTGACGGATGTACTTGTTCAGGGGATTTCTATAGTTTCCTGTTGGGGAAGAAAAGGAGGACCTCATATTTAGCATTAAAAAACGAAAACACAGGCCTTATTAAAAGGTGGGGTAGGTCATTTTGGAGAAACCAGCTCGAATGCGCTAGAATTTGAAAATACACAGCCGGAAAAATGTATCTGCCACTTCCTCACAGAGCCCCTCCTCCAACGCGCACATGACCAATGAGGGCACGAGATCAGTTTGTGCACAGATGGAAGGCTGACAGGCAGGTAGGCCATCCAGTTATTTTAGCCGGGCCGGCTCAGATGATTGGTCGTGCTTTTTACAGCGCCACGGCTTCCACAGATGACTTTTTTCTATGGATTTGTTGTCAAAGCACTTAAGATATTCATTGCTATCGGGATGTTAAGAGCATTCCATGGAATATAACAAAAAGTGTATCTCGAGCCGGTTTAAATGTCAGAAAATTCAGATCAAATCTAATCTGTTTACAAGACAGCAATCCTAGGATTTCTGTTCCAATCTTTTCAAGTCCTTTGGGTTGTATATGTATGAAAATGAACAAAAACACATGTGTTTGCCAGAGAAAAGGTGTTAACAAGCAAATGATGAGCAACAAAACAAAACGTACATCCAATTCCATAAGCCTGTAACAGCCTTGATACCACAGTGTTACATCGACTATTATTAGATGCCAATGTTAGTTATGTGTGTTAATTCAACAATATCTTTCAAACTTTCATTTGAATCTTAAAGGCAACATTACAGTATAACAGCTAGGTTTTAGACTAGGTAACTGAGGCAGGGTATATATATTAGGATCCTTTAGGCGCCTTAAAAATAGAAGATCAGGCGGATGTTTTACACGCAGGATTAAGATGATGTAAACCGACAGCAAATCAGTATGGTCTGCATGTTTAAATTGAGCTATTTATATTTCAGTAACTAACCCTTAAATGCTGTATTGAAGCAGTGCTTAACAACAGCCCCCAGCATCATTATTATTTTGCCACCAGTGGAGTGGGAGGCAGGCTCCAAGGAAAGAAATTCCCACACGTTCACCACATGCTTCACACTCAAAAGCAATCCATTTCGAGCAAAGGTAGTAATTTTGTTAAGGCCATTTAATTCCTATTGAAAGTACGTTTTCTTTTTAGCATATTGAGTCTGTAAGATCACATCCTTGCCCCTTAACATAGAGAAAGTATGTTCAGTAAATACAGTATAATTAGTACTGTCTGGTAGGTAATTATGCCTTTTTAGAGAGCCTAAATTATAGGATTCAGTGTTTCAACTATTGAGGAAAACAGGGGTAAGTAACCCAGGCTTCAGCTGGTTTCTCTTTTCATGTGAAGTATGAAATATTTAGTTGCTAACATGAAATGTTTCATTGAGGTGAAAATTAGAAGTGAAGGCCAAGCCTATTCTCAAATATATTTACCTCTCAAGGACTAGAAAATAAAAGTATTATAAGCATTGAATAAAAAGGAAGTCCTACAATTAAAAATGTAAAAAAGTTGTTACTGCTGTTTTTGATAGTTTGGCAAGGAATTTAGATTAATATAAAAAAGTATACTGATTTCCAAATAGAAATATGGACCCTAATGAACTGAATGAACATCGTATAAGAAGATGATAATCATATGTAGCCCATTATTTTGGGTAAACGATTTAAAAGCACAGCAGCGGGATATACAGCAGGTGCAGGATGCCATAACGTCAGGTACATCACAATGCAATGGAGCATTTTACGTAGGAGCAATTTCGTGCACAAATCATACACATTTTTCAAATATGAAATAGATCTACACAGTAGCGTTGAGGTAAAATACAGAATAGCGACAGTAGCATAAGCATTGACAGCAGGGAAAGAAAAAAACGATGCCAGCAATCCCGAAAACTTGTCAGCCATGTAAAATGGTAAACCCTGCCATTGTGCAGGTAACATAATGACAGGAGCTACATGTCTTATTCCTCCCATTAATCGTGATGATAGCAGCTAAAGTGTTAGCTAGCACAAAGCTAACGGTCCGTACACCCGGTCGGCATCTCCATCTTCTCATAACAATGGCTGTCGGCTCTATCCGCACGATAACAACAAAACCAACACAAAGCTGACAATAAAAACGGTGACAACACACAGAAATAACCAATCAATACCGGTTTATTTCAATCGACAGCACGAATCCAAGTCAGCTTTTACGCTATATATGATTTGTTAGCTTGAAGTAATACGGCAAAAAGGGTGCAGTCCTGTTCATAACAAGCAGGCCCTGCTGGTCCTCTGTGAGCTAACACCAGTCCTCCTCTTAGCTTCATGGATTTAACACAACTTGAAACGCTTTTTCTCTCAAAACGCCTCACTCACCTTGGGTGTGGTTTAGTAAACACACGAACAGGAAAACTTTAAGAACAAGCATGTCTGACAAATCCATTGTTAGAACATTGATACCGTTTTCACTTTATTGTCCTACTTAGATAGGCGCAGACGCCCTGTGTGTTTATTGCACCTTCCTCTCATCGCCTCCTTGCTCCTGCGTCATGACGTCAGACGCATGGCAGCTTGACATCCCTTCCCCCAAATGCATCCATGATCCAGGCCTGCATACATTACAGCACGCCCAGGCACAGCATTAAATATGCCTGGCTGTAATGTAATGTGTGCACTGTATATAGATCTCCTTCCACCGTTAGTGGCGCAGAAAACGGCTAAATATCCCTTAAATCATCATTTCCAGCTACTGCCCTCGGGGCAAAGGTGCACCATCCCGTGCGAAGAAAAACCTCTGTAGGAAATTGTTCATCCCCATTACATTTCCTAATATGAAAGAAAATTGTATACACGTTTTCCATATGCAAAACAAAGAAATGTCTGCCTTTTGAACCCAAAAGTTAAAAAATTAAGTCTTAACAAATACCTGTCTAATTTGTATTCTTCCCAATCTTATTTTATTTTAGCTCGTATTGTGACAAAAGGCTGTTGAACATAAGTGTCAAAATAATATAATAATATATGCTGATTACTTTTATGATGCTTATGTTTTCCTTGCTTAATGTGTTGTCATGTATGGTTATTGATGTGCTTTTGATATTCCTTTATGCTCTTTGTGTAAAGCAAATTTGCCTTGGGGGGAATAAGGTTTCATTCATGATGTTCACTGTAAACAAAGCAATGCTGACTTCTATTATTCACTACTCTCATTTCAACCATACCACTGTCACTTAATATAGGATTCAGTTAAGTGACAGTGATATTAAATTATTCTCCATATGTTTTTGTAAAGTTTAGTTATTTTTTATACTTAGTTAACTTTTTTTTAATACAGTGTATGTTTTATTGATATTGATGAGACCAAACAAGCAATGTTGAGAAAGCATCTCAGGCTCTAAGAACATGTAATGTTCACATTTTTCTGACATTTATAAACCATATGATTAATACATTAATGGCAGCCTTGTTCTTACATTTCTCTGGTAGAGTACTATTTTATCACAGTAATTACTTGCATACAATCTCGTAGAGCTGTCTTAAAATTCTTTAAGCTTCCAACAAATTGTGAGTTTTTGTTGCTTGGCAACCGAAGAAAATAAAAAACCATTGTTTGCTGTGTGAACCTTGGATTTGTTTCATGTCATACGTCAACTCTAATTATCTGTAGGCAATCTATTTCTGTTTCTCAGTGATGATCTTGACCTTCATCCTCTTCCCGCTGATGCAGTGGTTTCCCTCAGGTTAACGCCACATATTGCAAGGCACACTTCCTTTACAGAAATAGGATCACATCTGTGACATGTTGAAGATGAAGTGAGTTTTTGAGATGAACATTGGTTCTAGATGATCATGAATCAGAAAAAGTACCCAGATATTTTCTCCCAGAGTCTTGTCTGCTGATGTTTCCATTTTGACCACAATCTGATTAATTAGCAGCTTTTCAGTCAGTTTCTCTGTGTCTGTTTATTCCAGACGAGCTCCTCTGGCTCCTGTCGCCGTCACGTGACACACCTCCACATCTGCCCCCAGCTTCTGAAGCTCATCCAGCCAGATCTGCTGCTTCTGGGACAGCCGGTCACTTGGTCCCTTCACCTCCACCAGCTACAACAACAAGACAGCCCACATTGAAACAGTCCATTGCATGCTGCAGCACAATCGATGTAAAGGAATCAGGTACCACAGAGTGTCGAAATCCACACACAAAGAACAATATCAAATTCAGAAATCAATTATATGGTGTGGTCTCACCTTGTAGGTGTTGTTTGAGGTGTTCCACACCACTAGATCAGGCAAACCTCCACGGCAGTGTCTGTAGTCCTTTGACATTCGTTTTATTACCCCTCCTAAGAAGGCTCCTCTCATGCATGACACAAGGGACTGCGATAGAAAAAGTGGTGTTAGAAACTACAGTGACATGCAAAGGTAGACAACATCTGTTTTAACTTAACCTGTCATAGCATATCAAGGCCACTTTGAATCTTTACATGGGCCTGTCCATCTGTAACAACTGTATAATGTATATTGTGATATGTAGAGTATAAAAATGTTGTGTTTCCAATATGAATTGCCAACTCATGTTTGTAAATGGGGCTGTCAAAACATTAGAAACACCTCTCAATAATATGAAGTCTATTTGAACACCACTGAAATCTATGACCTCAATAATAAACATTAAAGTGGACCTATCATGCTATATTTGAAACATACATTGTAGGGCCATACCTATATAAAACATGTCTGTGAATTTTTTTTCATGCATTTTAGCCATGCCTCATTTCGCTCTATAGAGTGGCGAAGTCACGCCCATCTACTTCCGCCCCATGGGACCTTATTTCTGAAAAATTATGTATTGAAGTCAATGGAGAGAGAAAACGTATCTTTCGATCCCATTTGAATTGTGCCATGAATTACACATATGATGTTTGTCAATCTTAAAAAATCATTTCCATTTAAAAAAAGTCACAGTTTGTCTTAAAACTGTTGAAATATAAGACTATGATAAATACGCAACTAGAAAGACTACAAATCCCAGAGTCGCGCACATTAACATAACACATTACACTCGTGTTACTCACCTAAACCTTGTAAAGCCGGTCCCGCATGCTGGCTCTTACGGAACCGACTAACTCCCCTTTTGTGTATGTACAGTTCTCAACATGGCCATGACTTGTAGTGATTTTCACCTCTTTTAATACTTTTCACTTCATTCTGAAAGAAAGAGGTGAAATGTGCTAAGGCGACGGCCATCTTGGTGTTGGTGAGGTATGCACAGGGTTGGGAGGGTTACTTTGTAAATGTAATCAGTTACTGATTACTGAATACATGGCTCTGAAAGTAATCCGAATACAGTTACAGTTACGTGTCTTAAAAAAGTAACGTAATCAGATTACTTTTAGATTACTTTTGGATTACTTTCTTTTTCCATAACAGATGGTATGTTTTGGTGAACAGGAGACACAAAAAGCTAAAGGAAACTGAACGTGTTTTTACTGTTTTAATGGCGTATCAAGAGCACAACTGAAACATAACATCTGAAACGATGTAACAACATAATAAACTTGTTGGGGATGCAGTTTGGGATGTGAGGAGTGAGGGACACGGCTTAGATCGGGCGTGTCGCCTTCTGTCCTGCCAGTGTTGGCAGGACATGAATTAAAATGTCGAACTCTGACTTCATTTTAAGGACATTTCGGTCAGGGGTGTATTTTTGTTTAAGCACCGGATTGGCAAAACAGGAGACTGTGCACCAGTCTGCCTTGATCTATGAATTCATGTCCGTGACACTCACAGTATCTGCTGCCCGCAGCTATTTTATAGAAGGAAAACCTCCTTCACTTCATGAAATCTCTGCAGCACCAGGAGGCAGCGGGAGGGTTAACTCAGCCTCTGAGAAGACGAGCGTGCCGTGCCTTTCACGCACCGCCTTCACTGTGTTTACCTTCAGAATCATTAGAAAGGCTAAAGAGCGGTGTGGCTGAGGTGTTTTAACTCCACACACCTCTACACACATACACACACAGACGCGCGATTTAAACGAAGACTTTTGTTCCTCCATGTTTCGTTGTTATCGTTTCATTGAGCGGACCCGCCCCTTTTTTTTTTCAAACGCTTCCTTTTTTGGATCATCGCTGTGATGATTCGGCTGTACCTTTAGTAATGAATATTTAATGTTGTGAGGAAATCTTTCCACCAATAATTCCAATAAGTATTCCAAAATGTATTCACTTCAGGTTTACGAAAGTAACTGTAATCAGGTTACTCGTTTTTCAAATGTAACGCGAGCTGAATACAGTTACTTGATTTTTGTATTCTGATTACGTAACACCGTTACATGTATTCCGTTACAACCCAACCCTGCGTATGCAAGACCAGAGTTGTAGTTCATTGAGCGCTTCACACAAAAAAATGTGTTACTTCACAGTTTTACGACACATTTTTATTTGTTTTACTTGCAAAATGATCTTTTAAATTGACAAACATCATATGTGTAATTCGTTGCACAATTCAAACGGGATCAAAAGATAATCTTTCTCTCTCCATTGACTTCAATACATGATTTTTCCAAAATAAGGTCCCATGGAGGTCCACCGGAAAGGGAAGGACTTCGCCACTCTATATGCTCTTTTCCAGCCCTGTTTTTGCAAGGGCTGATTCTGCTTTTGTGGCAGACTGCAGCGCCACTTACAGGCCTGGCATATGTACTACAGCGTCTCCAGTGCTTTCGAGCGGTCTCTCATTCCCCTGATAGGTGGAGAGTTGCCCATATAGGCGGAGCACCCCTTTTCTGACGTCAGAAAAATTCAAATAATAATCAGCTCCGTTGCAGCCCCGTTTTTAGAGATTTGGGTATGGAGGAAAAGAGAGAGGATTGTGTTTTCTGACACTTGGTGAGTTCCCTGACACATATTCATGTAAAAAAGACGTACAAAAGTGCATTTTGCATGATAGGTCCCCTTTAAAGTAAAACTAATACAGCGCTGTGCCAATCAAATCTAAACATGTTTATTATTTGAAAAGGTAGAGTTTGTGGCTGAGCAGTTGCCTTGTTTTGAATTCGATTTTTCAAGTGGCCACTATGTGTATATTTACCAGCTGGACAAATAAATACCTGTGCCTGTTGCAGGGATGAGAAGCGCTCCCAGTTGACCAGTGAACACACTTTACCCTCATGGGAGGTCCACACCTCTGCCAACATGTCATGCAGAGTCTCCACAGAAGCCTCGCTGAGTAACTGCACACGACAATCTATCGCCTCTTTTCTGTTCTCATAGAAACAGTCAGTGTAAAGGTCCAGCGGACATGTCTGTGAGAAGAAAGGCAGATTAGTTTAATTGGTATTTCATTGAAATCTCATAAATACTGTATTCATAGGTTTTACTTTACCTGGTATAGATTCCTAAAAACATCTGGAATACCCTCCATAAAAATGATGTCCCATAGCAGAAGGCCAAACAATGTTGAGAATGTAGAGCCCTCGCCATGGATCCCTGTTACATGAATAATACATAAATAACAATAAAGAATACAGAATGATGTTTAATAGGTAGCAGCAAAACTGTTTACCTTGGTCAAAGCCTTGTTGATGGTAATGTGCTAATGACAGGTCTTCCACAGAGCATATAATAGTGGCATCAGCACTCTCGCCCCCATCTCCAATTGCTGGTAAAAGAAACCTAGATTTCCCCATGCCCCCCTCGTGGGGGAACAGCTGTCCCCGGATGGTCACCTGCAGACAAAGGTACAAACAGTATTTCATACATTCATTATTTTATATACAACCAACGATGATGTAACATTAGGTTATCTTGGCAAATTGATATTCCGTCCCCGACTTGCGCTACGTTTATTAAACATTGACAGAGGAAGAGTCAGTAGCTAATGTGTGTGTGACGTTTGTATTTGTGTTTCAGGTTCAAGGCTTGATAGATGCCAGTCATTTCATGAGTGTGTGTATCTTTAAAGACAATATCCTGTCACCTCGTAGGCATTTAAAGAGAACAATTAAAAAAATATATCAGAAGAAATTATTCAGAGCTGCTAAATCTGGTGGTTTAAGGCTGAGTGCTGGAGAGAGGGTAAGAGACTGTGAGTTGAGAAAGAGGAGAGGAAAATAAATGAGAGTCGAACATGTTTGTTAGGCTTGAGGTGGTAAGAAATGTAACAACATTTCAGCTCAGCAAATGTCATTATTGCTGTGATGTTCTCTTTATACTTGACCGCACTCCCCACTCTAGCTGACATAGTGGTTGCCTTACTGCTCTCTGTACTCATATTATTCAGTGCTCATAGTGAAAGTATCTTATGAGGTGGTTAGAAACATAACATTAAACTCAGCAAATTAGATTACTCCAGTGATGTACTTTTGTAATCAAATACATACATTTCATACTGTATACTGTATGTTCTAAACTGTGATTGTTCTTTATCATTCTATATATATATATATATATATATATCTTCTTTAATTGCTTGTAAAGCGCTTTAACCACCAGGAAAAGCGCTATATAAATGACATGTATTATTATTATATAATTTTATTGATTCATTTATTTAACAGGGACAGTGCACATTAATTAACATTGAGTTAGCCAAGAGGCTATTTTTCATCTGTAGTCCCTGGTAATCTATATAAATGTTGATTTTGTGGCCATTCTTATTCCATTATTGTAAGTATTGGGTGTTGAGCTGTGCTAGACTCACATGAGTGACATCTTCAACTTGGATAGTGGGCATGTCGTTCATTTGCAGGCGAAGCTTCTTCAGGCTGGCAGACTCTTTCATCCTGACAGCTCTCTGATGGAGAGACAGTTTGTGTCCAGTACGCACCAGAGGGTCTGACATCCCATCTCTGATAGCACAGATAGCCTGAGAGCAATGGGAAAAGAACTCTGTCAAACAAATAAAAACACCATAGCTATTGTTGAGCACTCACACAAAGAGATAGATGATTAAATGGAACCACGGGTAACAGTGCTCACTTGCTCAGGTTTTTTAAGGTGCTGGTGAAGGTTGAGTGCCAGTCTGTCCCACCATCGGCCTCGGCTGTCAGGACAGTAAACAGATTGCGACAGTAAGGACTGCAGCTCCTCTACTGCTTCCTGCAAACCAGAAGAAGAACCATTAGAAATGTAACCCCTGAATACACACTTTTCCCTTTTAAAATACTTTTATTTGATCTAAATGCGAGCGGACAGGGTCAGAAAACCTCATAGCAACGTAGCCTTTGCGAGATCTCCACCCCTCTGGTTAAGACCCGAGTGTAAGCCCATCCTGTAGTGAAGCTGCGCAGGAACACAGGCAGCTCCTCCTTGTGACTATCCAATCGAACACAGTGGTAATATTAGCATTAAACGATATCCAGGGAATTCACATCTTGGTTTAAGACAGAAGCAATTTAAAAGATGTATGTCACCTGAGGTCATGGTTTGTCCTCAGCTCCTTCCAGACGCTTTTAGCCGCAGTATAGAGCTCCATGGCCTCCTCCCATTGACCCCCCTGCATGGCTGACACCACCTCCTGCAGGGTCCGCATGGATGCTTCGTATCTAGTGGGATAGATGGGATCATGAGTATTAATTAGGACTGTAACGGTTCCTGTATTACTACCGAACTGTCACGGCACGGTAAATATAGTCAAACACTGAATACTTTTGTTTGTTAATGTTAACATTTAGCCAATGTGACACATATTAAAACACTCCTAATGCAAATGTTTTAATTTGTATATTTTGGAGGATAAGCCTTTCACGTTTATACATAGCCTTTTGTGAATTGTTGTCTTCCGGAAAAAGTTGTGTGCCTTGCACTGCTGTCTACTCAAAAGAAATAAAAATAAAGCTAGCCTTATGCATATGGAGTTTTTCCACTGTACCGCAGTTATTGCACACCATAAAACTGGGAACGATTCTAACTGTGACTTCGGTATACCGTTCCAGCCCTAATATGTATTCTGTATATACAATACATTATACTACATTTGAGCTCTTTGTGCAGCCCCGCACCTGATGAGATCCTCTCTGTCCTGGAACACCTTGGCTGAACGCTGCACGGTGTAGTCTGGGAAGGCCAGGCGTCCGGAGTTAACCAGCAGGATGGTGAACAGCTGGCTCTGCCCACCAGCCGCCGTCTCCTCGTCCTCCAGGGTGTCCGTCAAAGAGAAGAGGAGAAGGATCCGAGAGAAGACGGCCCGAGCACCGCGACACAGGCGCACACAGGAACTTGCAAGCTGCTTTGCCCTTTAAAGGTAAGAGGAAACAAGGGTGAGATCATTACTGCAATACTAGAACTGTCAATGCACACAATGTGTTTGATCATCTCACCTTTTGAGGATGACAGCCCCAATGTTGTTCTGAGCAGCGGACAAAGAGAAGAGGGACTTTTGCCGGCTCAAACGGAGAAGTCCGTCCACCAGCTGCTGTTTCTGAGTCCCAGAATTGCCCAGATGGAAAGTCTTAGCCAGAGATTTGAGATCAGGAGCGGGCAGGAGATCCAGAGTCTCCCCCAAGTCCTGAAGGTCACGCTCTATGATTTTCAAAAACAGCAGAGATGAGCATTAACGAGATAAAACTAGAAGATGTTTTCGATGTGGTGTTACAGCAGGATAACAAACAGTATGTTCTTAAAAAGACTTTATTCATATAGCTATTTTCAAAAGAATGTTACAAACATTATATGGCAAAAAAGATTGGTACTATACAACTTAGCTAAAACTGTAACAATATAACAAAATCAAAATCCTTCATTAACAACATCATACTGTCAATATACAAGTTCCAAGTCATTCAAGAGGTGTTCTCTTCTAAAGAGGCTCCATAAATAAAAAAGATAGTATTAGATATCATTTACCTGACTGTAGAAAACCAGCTTGAACCAGCTCCTGAGCCACAGGTCCCAGATCACTGCATATCTCTTCATAATGCAGTTTATTCACTTGGAGCCACTTCAGTTTCCTCTGAAAGAGTCTCACATACAGCTTCTGCCCCATGGCTTGAGAGGGGAAAATACATGTGAGTGATGAGGCCTCTCTTCAAATAAACAACAATAACAGAAGGTAGAGCTGCAACAATCTGCCTACTACTCAGATAGTCGATCACAAACTATTATGGTAGTCGGTTCATCTTTAATCATTTAATAATATTTCATGCAAAATGGTTGAAAAGGTCGTTTTCAGTCTCTAAAATACAAATATGTCCTGCTTTTCTGTTTTACAGCATACATATAACACTAGATACTTTTGATGTCCGGACGTTTAAACAAGGCATTTAAAGACATCCCTTTGGACAAACTAGTATGTCAATGTTTTACTATTTTGTCCTTGTGTAACAATTCATAATCTACCGATAATTCGAGTTTTATATCGGCATTACCTGAGAGTTTCTTGAATGCATGGATGAGTGACATGTCATCCTGATTGAACAATGACCTGTCGTCCTCATTCTCCAGCACAGCCTGTAGTACGGTCAGGAAGTTACGGAGGTAGTAGGGAAGCCGTAGGGGATCCACAGCCTGGTCACTCGGGATGCTCTCAGTAATAGACTCTGACTGTGTGTCACTTTTGATCGCTGCATCATTCGTTTCCTCTGAAGTCAGAAGGGGGTCACAAGTAGTGGTAGAAGGTCCCTCAGTTTTAGTCTGGTCTGTATCAGCCATCGCTGCTTTAATGTCACTAGAAAACACCTCCTCTGGCTCAACGCTGCTCCCCTCATATTTTGCTTTCTTTCTTAGTCCTGACGCGCTGCCAGTGGAAGGTGTTCCCTTTTTTCTCTTTGATAGTTTAGACTCTTTAGAGGAAGAAGAGAGCTGCTTTAGAGTAACCACTTTCTCTGATTTAGGAGCTTTGCGTTCAGGATTACGTCCTTTGTCTGAACATGAAATATCTTCCACTGCTGTTGGAGAGTCATTACTAGTGTCTGTGAGGTCAATGACTGTCACACCATCTGGTTCGGCTTCTAAAGTCTGAATATTTTCTTTCTGTGAGCTGCTGAGGGTCCCAGGAGATGAACATATCGCCTTTTCAGGATCCATTGGTGCCCGTTTATCTCCTGTCTTTGTCCTCTTAGGTGACTTATGTCTTTTCATAGATAACTTGGAGGAGAGACTTCCCAGGTCAATGGTCCTCACCACACTTTTACTTCTCAATTCCAGTGGTGCCTGCTGAGAATCATTCTTCTTGAAATTAGGGCTGGTCTTGGTGCCTTTGATTTCTTCTTCATTCTTTGGATCCAGCTTTAGGGACTTTGGGGGATTCCGTATGGGGGACAGCTGCTTGCTTGGCATGACAGTATTACTTGCTGAGGCTGCATTGCTGTCTCCTCTCTCAAAGTTCTGACATTGCAAATCAATGTGCTCATTGATCTTGAATCTTGGTACCAGCTGGCCACACAGGGGGCAGGCCAGCCTAGGGGGGGGCTGGCTGCTGAAGAAGGAGCTGATGGGAGGTGTGGCGGTGGCAGGACTGGCATAAATCCCAGCTTTGACATTGCCTTTCTTCTTACTCTTAGACAATGACAAACTTCCTCTCGGTCTTACTTTGCTGGCTCTTTCCGTCATGATGCAGGAGGAAGTGCTGCTCAATACAAGGCTTTTTTAGAAGCTTTTCTTTGTTGCATACTATGATACGGATAGGCTCGACAGATACTGCTAATGGCTCTGTTTGGCTAACTCGACTCATAAAAACACTTTATTTTAAACGAGTATATACATGTAGCTTTGGTGGTTCAAATATGCATTAGAAAAACGCTAAAACACTAATATAAAAAGACTGTCAATTGAAAACAGAAGCTAACATACCGGTAGAAAAGAAGAGCGCTGCACAATCATAACAATCCCGCTTTCCAGGCTTAACCAGCGGAGCGCAGATTGCCTGATAAGGATGTACCAATCGATCGCAACTACATCGATACTTCTCAACCACCTAAACGCTAACAAGGTAAAGAAAAAAAGCAATTTTAAATTATATTAATTGATATGTGTTTTTAAATAAAGTCAGTGTTACTATAATGCAAAAAATAGAAAGTGTTTTTTACATCGTACATTTCTTCTTTAATTTACTCTTAATGTTTAGGGAAATTAGAGTTGGAAGGGTTTTTAACTTTTTGATAAAATAATAAGATACGATATACTTTAATGATCCCAATTTGGGATTTGTGTTTGATACAGCAGCATGTAAACAAGGCATTTCACAAAATGTGAAAATGAAAATGAGTAGCTACAAAATAAGCCGAGATAAACATTAAATAGAAAAATCCCCAAATAGGAAATAAAAAAAACAGAACTTTAAAGTTAAATATATACATACACGATACCGGTCAGTTATTTAGGTGTATGTTTGTCTCTGTGGTCATTATGCCTATCACAGTGTAATTAGTTGAGGGACCGAGCAGTGAGCACATGATGATGGGGGTGTGTTTTTCTACACAGGTTCCTGGGCTGCTGTGCGGCTTTTATTCAAAAATCACCATTCCGGAGAGCAATCTGATGTGATCAGTACACGGGCATTTTACAAGGAGGTGCGGCCGACAGGACTGATGTTGGTAAGTGCCACATAGCATTGTCTGTGTTTGGATGGGGAAACATGTATTTGTGATGCACATAGGCCTCTTCGTCTTGCGATAAGAGAGCCAAAGACAATGCTGCTGGATGTGGTCCTTTGGTACAACGTCAGCCCATAAACTGGATGATGCAGTCTCGATGCTTCAAATCAAGGTCGATGTGCATTACAGCAGAAGGATAATATTTGCAGATGATGAATTCAGTAGAGTGTGTTTGCAGGGAGTCAGATCCATCACTGCGTGCTATATGCGCAGGAAAACCATAATATCTTATTATCTTGTCGATGTTTAAGCAGATGGGAATGTGGCGTCCACTTGTGGGGAAACCGGAGCCACCACAACATCCACTCCTGCAGCTGCGGCAAAAGTTAACCATAATGGCTTTATTAGCCTACCTACAAATATGTGAAGGGCAGGGCGAGCTGCGTGAAATCGCGACCATAATGACCCTTATTGTTTTAATAAGCACTTCAGCACCATGGAGAGGTATGACCTCTCCATTAGGTCCGCGTGTAATAGCCTATATGGGAGGTGATCTGGGGGGGATTAGGTTTTTGTATTCATAACAGCATAATCTCAGTTGCATTGTCATGAGATCAACACTGTGAACGGTTAGGATTTATTGTGTTTAGTGTGATACACATAAATAATATTCAAAAAGCGTATTGTACTGTTTTTTCTCACCCATTTAAGCCTCAAGCCTTCACGATTCATGTTTTGATGAGGGTGTTGACATGTGGAGACTGGGCGGATATCAGCCCACTGTGTTCAGTGTGAGAGCTACTGTCAGAAGGCCACTATTAAGTGTTAACGCCTTAAATATTAGACTGAGAACAGAATTAAGCATTTTATGTTGCTCTTCTTTTGCATAAAAGATTAAAATAGAGTAATGGATCCAGGGAATGCATAAGGCCTAAATGATGAACGTATTTACTGTTTGTTATTTTAAATTGATGAATCATTTTATAATATATTTTGTTGGTGTAAAGCTACACACTGTAGGGTTGCAGCAAACTATTATTGTAATGTATTTTTCTTTTCTTTGGGTATTTTTTAAGTGGTAATTTGCAGATACATATTTTTCTGTCAATTGATTTATCATCAAATAAAAAGTTGACTTGGATTTTGAATCTGGTGCATAGACTAAAATGATAATAGTGTATCAGAGATAAGTTTGTAAGGGAGAATATCACTTTAATTGAAAAAGTAACAATTATTTGACATCATTAAAACATCACATGCTGCTGTTCAATTGTTTTGTTGCATATCTCCTGTTCTGCAGGACATCAAGGCACAATTAGAGCAGATTCAACAAAGCAAGATGACAGGTTACAAACAACCTTAGCAGTCATAGACAAAAGGAGTCAGATGGTGAATGTTGGTGTTAGATGGTAATAGATATATAGATAACTTGATACTAGGTGGCCTGTTTGACCATGGAGTAGGGGTTGTGTTAGTATTGAGTGTAAAGAAATATATTTACTCTAATATAATGTTTCTAATTTGTGTGCTATTGTGGAAACTAACCTGTGATCATATGTTATCCAATATAGTTTGATTGCTTGAGATATGCTCCAAAAATGTGTTGTTAGTGTGTATTATGATTGGCGATGGTAAGCAAGAGAAAAAGTTGCTTTTTGCTGACATTTTAAATATGAATGCCTTAATAATATGTGTATTTATTACAGAGATAGGAATAACATGTGGCAGTTCATTTCTACAGTACATTGGTTTCAGTAAAGACATTTAACAGGCGGTAAAGTTGTACATTATCTTTTAAAATGTAACATTTGTTCAATGTTTCTGTTTCTATGTGAAAAATGTGCTGTTCACGGTGTGAAGTGTAAAAGTAGCATAATGCATCTCAGAGGTTTAATTGTGGTTATCTATTATCGTTCACAGGGTTGAAGGTATAGTGTGCTTAAAGGCCAGTTATGGTTCATGGAAAAAGGCCAGGAACCATCACCAAAGTATTGGCCCCCAGCCCTCCACCGTGCTCCGGTCCAGGAGTCACTGAACAGAGACAAGAAGAGCAGCGAGCTTTGGTAAAGGAGGCGTCTGAGAAATCATTGTGCACCTTGAAGGATGAAATCAAAGACCAGCTGATTCCTGTCCCTGCAAGCCAATTCGACTTGGGTTGTGACCCTAGTCCTGAGGACATGGAGGACACCTGCTCCGAGTACGACAACGTGGGCTCTGATGTGGAGCAGGACTACGATGAGGTACTGCATTTAAACAGAGAGAGCGTTGTGGACGCGAGGTTCTACAAACAGTACTCTCCTGAGGATGCTGGCTATATAAAGCATGCAGTAGGCGATAATATTAATGACAGCAGCAGTGCTGTTGACCAGTTTACTCCCAGGCCTGGACATGGCACAGAAATATATGAGGGATCACAATCAGACACTAAACCTCACAAGACGGGCCATGGATGTAGGTCGCATTGTGCTCCTACTGCTGTGGCTGAAGCAGAGAGGGAGGTGAAAACGTGCCAGGAGAACAGGTTTTTCTTCAATGACGGAGATGAGATAGAGGAGGTGTTGGACGGGGCCAAATTTATAGAGGATTTAGAGGAGGAAGAGACCATAGTTCAAAGAAAGACCAGCCTTTATCAGGACAAGGAGAATGGAAGAGTTAGAAAAGGAGGTGATGAAAGGAAGAGAGATGATGACACTCGAGTGGCCAGAAACCGTAATATCCCCGTAGCTAGTAAGAAGTGTGAGGTGTCTCACATGGGTTCAAAGGAGGAGAGGGAGAGGCAGGGTAAAGGACGAGGGAGGAGGGTAGCAGGAGAGGACATGGAGCCCATTGTTTCTGGGATCAAAGGATGCACGACCAACAGCAGTGAACAGCGTCCAAAGACTTTGTCAAAGGGCAGCAAAACAGCTGTGGTGAGGACCAAGGCTCGGTCTGGTTCCAGTAGGCCTCATCCTCCCCCGCCACCTCGTCACGCACATGCTCAGCCTCCTGCCGACACCCAGAAGGCCCCGCCTCGCAGAGAGACTCCTCCCGTTCCCAGAGCCAGTCTCTCTTCTGCCGACAGCCAGGAGAGTGAACCCAGGGCTATCAAAGCATCCTTGGCTGCTCATCAAACACCAGAACCACAGAGGGAGCCTCCTGAGGACAGGCAGAGACGGCCAGAGAAACCGCAGCAGGTAACCAAATGCAAATAGGGCAGGTCTTTTTCAGATCCCATCCCTTGGGGCTTGTGTTTGTTCCTGCACAATCTACCTTCACTGTGTCCTAGAGTGGCTGCAGTATGATGTTAAGTACATGCTTTGCTATGAAAAGTATATTTCCCCATGGGCTTATCATTTACACAGAACAATAAGAAACATTTAAAACAAGACATGCCAAAGTTATAGCAGATGTTTGAATACAACAGGTGGAGAAGCCGAGCACGGCTGTGATACCCGAGCATGTGCCGGAGCAGCCGAGGAGGCCTCCGAGTCCAGAGCCCCTCCCTGCAGAGGACAGCAACACACCCAAGGTGAAGACTTTTTACAAAACAGAAGACTATGTTTCATTGATGACATCCACATTCTTTTAATTTATGTAGTTTAAGGGAATTAATCTGCCTTTTCTCCATATCCAAAACATCAATTTTTGATATTCCCACTATAAGAATACTTTTTTCTGTATGCCACTTATTAAATCAAATCACTATTTATTTATGTGACTGCACTGGAACATTTATTGTCTTATTTTTCTTGTATTAATGATTCTATTTGATATGCTTTTATACAATATTTACTATGATTAACTTATATGTATCTCAGGTATTAATAGTCATACCAATGCTGTACAATTAAAGGCTAATATTGACATGCTTATTTTTAAGAACACACAGGAAGCTGCTTCTTTCCCAAGCTTTGAAGATGGTGATTATCTCATAATATTCTTATATTTCATATATCTTTCCAGCACATTCAAATGTTTCCACTGACAGCCGTTTGTTTTCTGCATAGTCCCAGGTCCCTGTGAGCCAGAGGATCTTAT